TGCTCAGAATTATGGCGACCAGCTGTTCGCTTTAGCAGTTTGCTCAACATACCAGGAGTCCGTGGAGTCACACAATGTCTCTCTCCCTGCGATGTGCTCTCCCAGTGCGTGCAGGGAATCTGTTCGCGATGCAGTGGCGTGTACCTGCCTGTAGGGGGGGTTGGCAATGACGCACGTGTGTAGACGGCGCTCGGGTGAGAGGAACTCAGGAGGGTCGAGGGGCGAGAGGAGAGGATGGGCCCACAGTGGGCTACAGGGCCAGGGAATGTGGTGGCAGATGGCAGAAAGAGGTGGTACCACACAGTGAGTGGGCATTTAGACTAATTCATCGTAACATCAAAGAAGGTGGAACATTTGGCCACTAACCTGCCGTCAAAACACATTTCCATTCCCCTTCTTTCAAGACACACTCCACAGACGGCTGATGAATGATTGTTACTCGCTGAACTATTTTTAGAAACCCTTTTTTTCCCCGCAGGGAGGACTCGCTGCTGTTGTAGGTCTCTGTGGTAACGGGGATCGTTTTTTTTTTTCCCCAAGAAAAGTACCGGGCGTTGGAAACGAGAGTCAAAAAGGTACAAAGGGCCAGCATTTCCCCCAGATTCCTCCTGTGTGTTTCTTTTCTACAGGAGTGAAGACGAACCTGGCAGATACACCAGCGAGAGGGGCGTGAGCACTGGAGCTTTCGCAATCTCTATTAGATCCAGCTGAGTTGGGGGGTATTGAGGAGAAGACCCCTCACCTCCACATCTCGGACGACAACGTTCTGTTCACCAAGCGCGGAATCAAAGATGAACCTGAGCTGTGTGTTGCAGGTGCAAGTTTCTCCTGCGTCTTGGGGTTGCAGTCCTGCTCTTGGGACCCCCCAAAACCTGCTCGTTTTCACTGCAGCTGAGCTCTTGCTTAAATCCGTAGTTGAACCAACAAACTGCTTAGTTAGAACCTTTGCGAGATGTTTTTTTTTTTACTCAAAGGCTGGAAATTTTAAGTTACTTACAGTAGTTCAATGGCGACACCTGACATGATTAAGAACAGAGAAGAGAATTTAAATTAAACATGTTATTAGGTCTATTCGAGTTAAATGAATGAGTGTGCAGGTGGAACAAAAATTAACAGAGGTACAGGACCCCAGGGGCAGGACTGGGAACGCCTGATCCTCGTCACACGTGAAACACATCTGAATACGTTTTCCTTACGGGTAATTAAAGGGTGGTCAAGTTAAATGCAATTAAGTCTTCAGTCTTTCGGGATACAAGGTTCCAGTTACATTAAAAATATACAGTAGACTGGAAAAGCAGCAAAAAAGAAGCCCAGCAGTCACTATTGACCTTCTCGCCGACCACTAGCGCCGGCCTAAATATTTAAATAAAATGAATGTCTACTGCCCTCTAGTGGTCAGAATGAAGACCCTTTCGCAGTTGCGATAAAGTACAGTACTCCCTCGTTTTAACAGGAAGGGGTGTTTGTTATTACCGAATGTCCTTTAAGTCACAAATTACGTTTTTCAGCACCGCAACACGCTATTATGTGAGAAATAAATATCTGTATATTATTTATTCTTAATCTTTTGACTTATCTTTTTTAACGATTGGAATCCACACAGTCAATGACGGTAATTGTCTCATTGATTTAGAAAACTATGATCAAACATGAATGCAAAATTGCTGAATTGTAACATAATCATGCTATTTTAATTACATTAAGTTACTCCATTCAAATCTAAACATTAAAATTCATTAAAAATTAATTCATTAAAACAAAACATAATGTCACTACACTGTCATTTTGTTATTCTGCGATACTGATCATTCTCACGTGTTAAAAGACCGTGTTGTATAGGTTCTGTTAACGCACATAATTAAGCACCAATTTAAAACTAGAAACTGCAAAACATCTAGGCCGAGTGGCTCTTAAATTTCATTCAAATAATAAAACACATTACTGAGAAATGCCCAGAAAATAACCTGTTTATGGCACCGAGATATTAGACACACAGTTTTTAATATAGCTTTTCGGGTCACATAAAATGCATAAAAGTCATGGCCTTACGCCTAGATAACCACAGACGACTAAATTTGCAAATATACATCATGTAAGAAGCTCAATTACAGATATTTTGGTAGAAAGTAAAATAAAACAGTCCTAAACATCTCCTTTTAAATAAACCCAGAAGAGATTACATACAACATAAAAATATATTTAAACATTGGTTATTTATAAGCAATTCAGCAATTCAAAAGTACTGCTTTGTAACTCTCTGAATAGCATTAGAAAATGATACATCACGCAACGTCGAGATGAAACCTTCCACAATTCTAAACAGAATATCTAATATAGAAAAAAGGCTTGTGACTGGACCTTCATAAACAGAGTGCTACAAAAAAGTCACAAACAGGACAGTACAGTTTTGGGCAATGAATGTCGAAACCATACAATTGCTTTAAAGCTTACCTTCAACAGCTTTAAATGAAAACAGCAGCTTCAGAGCTTGTTTTTGGATGACCAGAAACACCTGTGAAAAATTGCATTTAAAGCTCCACAAAAGGGTCTGCTTTGTCAACGTCTGCCTGCTGAAAACCCTCAACCAGATTTGTTCCAACCATCAAAAGAAGACGATAAGATAACGTTACATCTGTAAAGACTCTCTTTTATTACAGCCTTCTGTCCTTACTGCCATCTTGTCATTAGCAGAGGGAACCAGGCTTCAGCATAAAATATAGTGATATATTAGAATCCATCTATCCCTCAGTACCAACAAGGACACTGAGACAAGAGGATGCAAACCAGCTCTAAATAGAACAGTTCTGTGCTTTATAGAAGGGATGACATTCATTTGCAACATGTGTTTCATCACTATGTATTAATAAGTCTCCTGGTGAGACTGTCCAGAAACTAAGGGTCCTGTCCCAGCAGGATAATGCTTTTGGGGAGACTTTTGTGTATCATGTGGCTCTTTTTGACTTGGGAGTCTGTCTTTTCTTTACAGATTGTCATGGATCTCTACTGCAGATACCAAATTCATGAGGCCGAAATGATATGGCAGCCCTGGAGACTTAGGACTATCCCAAAGAGGTTTTTTAACATGCACAACTGTTGTCTTTGGGTGCAAAATAACTTCCTAAACCATGCTTCACAAAAAAAGACAACATAACGCTACTAATTCGGTGTTCTGACGCGATATCATTGATGACACTTACATGTAGCTGTAACCTCTTGGTTGCATCTTCTCCTACTGCTTCTCACCTCAGGTGAAATCTGAACAGTTTCTTCACAGGCCGGGTCCCTTTGAAAGATGAGCTACCTGGAGCTGATTGTAATTTGTTAAGAAAATGAACCCTGGTGCCAGCCCTTTTCAAAACCAGCCAATATCACAATCAAAATGACCCTCCCTGGTTGTGTTATAAAATAACCTAGTGCTTTCTGAAACTTTCAAAAATACATCATATCACTGAGAAGCACCTGAGATCTTTTGAATTCAGTTATTTTCTGGTCTATTTTGTGGGGAGAGATCAGCTTTCTAATGAATGTGGTCTCGTAAACCATAAAGTTATTGAGAAATCCGATCCCGGTGTAGAGCATTTTTACCACCTTGCCCACCTGTAGCAATCAATGTGAACAGAAGCAGAGTGTGCAGGGTTTTTGTATTCCATCGGCCTGAGTCATCTTCTCCTCATACTGAACACAGAGTGACATAACTACCCTGCTGCTTGTTTGGCAAATCCCCTGTACAATACACAGACATGGTCTTGAAGAATGTTGTTTCCACAGCGGGATGCATAGCAGCCACATCCTTTCTAAATAAATGAGTTTTTCAAACACATCCTCAGATCTGAGGATTTACTGTATAACTCACCTGGACTAAAACAGGCTTTGGGTTTCAAAATTTCCCATGTATTTGGACCCATGAAGACCTCCAGTAGTTAATGACACCACACTCCTTCAAACTATACTGCGAAGCTCTGCCACTTTACACTTACTGTGTACGAACCATAATTGTTGCAGAGAACAGAATCTTCAACGTTCAGAATCATTATCTTGAGAATGTTGTGTCTATGGTGGAACAAAATTCAGTACACAAATAAGAGGACCAGTGCTTATTTGGTTACTAGACATCTGTTACCAAAATGTATATAAGAGGTGTCAGGATTCATACTTTACTCCCAGTAAGCCAAAGCACCTACTCCTTATGTGCCAAAAAATACAGCATTATGGATTTTTTTATTGTTATATATTTGGCAATATACAGGTGTGGTCCTAAAAACCGAAGGACAAGTACCACCTAGATGTGTATGAAATCAATACTACTGCATAAACCCAAGAATAGATCAACCAGAGCACCAGTCGCCTGCCACCATATCCACCTCATAACCTGACTGATGGCCCAGTTAAAACCCAGGGTTATGGATGAATGAGAACCTCTGAATTCATTGCGCTTAAAGCATGAAAGGATATTTCAAGCAATGTAGACCCAGACAGTTGAAAAACAGAGAATGCAGGGACATTAATAAACTCGATAGGCCTTTTAATCACGGGGAAGCCAAGATACATTACAGGTAAGATCACTACTGACATAAGCGAAGTTCCTCAAACCTGTTCATGAAAAATGTTCACGACAGCTCATGAAAAAATGTTTTTTGTTCACGTTGAAACCAGTGCATCTCGAGTTAGTGCACTGCAGTGGATGAGTAGACAGAAAAAGAATGCCTAAAAAGTAAGAAATATGTAATACTGGTGGCTTTGAAAAATAAAACTGAGACCACCAGTATTCCAATTCACTTGCCCTCATCAACAGGTTTGACTAAAACAATGCCATTTGTCTGGTACTGTATGGTATTCCAATCTAAAACATTGCCTGTGGGAGCCTGGTGGCGTGTGTACAATGCTTGAATGTCACTGGCCGGGAGAACATAGTCCCACAGGTTCACATCACTGATTTCGCCAACAAAGCTCTGGGTCACATCAAAGTCTCCAAGTAATTTATCAGGGTCCTGCCCCAGCAGGATGGTGCCTTCAGAGCGAATTGTGTGTCCTTTGCGATAGACCTGTCGGGCGCTTCTCTTCCCATCAACCCAGAAAGCGGACAAGCCCGACTGGGAGTCCCAGGTGACGCACATGTGCGTCCCCAAGGCGCTCAGCTGGGGCAGTTTGAACATCAACCCGTCCCCCGCCAGGTAGAAAGAGAACTGACCGTCCTTCTCGCGCCACACGTTCAGCTCGTCGTTGTCTGCTGTGCGGTAGGCGAACAGAATCACCTCCCGCCCCACAGGCAGCTCAGTGGACAGGCGCATGCAGAGTGTGAAGGCTGACATCTGCAGGGGCTTCTGTGGGGTGAGGGTGACATAGCTTCTGGCATTCTCCACCGGAAAGATGAGGGCTTTTCTGAAGAGGCCTGGTGTGGGGGGTGTGAACGAGGAAAAACAAACACATGCTTTGTGAAAAACCTGTTGAAAACCTGATGAAGGGTCTTAAGGGGATTTACATTATCAACAGGTGGCGTGGTGGAGCAGTGGTCAGCGCTGGGGCCCTGGGTTCAATTCCAGACCTGGGGTGCTGTCTGTGTGGAGTTTTGCGTGTTCTCCCCATGTTTCCAGGGGTTTCCTTCCACAGTTCAAAAAACAGACTGGTAGGTTAATGGACTACCCTGCCTTGTGATCATTGCTTGTTGGGATACGCTCTGGCTCCCTGGTAACCCTAGAAGTTAAGAAACGGATGGATGGATATTCCGAACAATTAAAATATTTTTCCCCAATGTCAGAGGGGAGACCAAATGTCTAACCTTAAAAGCCACAATCCAAAATCTCCACACAGGTGAGATATAGAGCCAAAAAGCACCCTGTTAAACACATTTATGAAAAATATTTATTTTTTAAATTTTCTCCCAACGGTGTGATTGAACAGAGACTCAGCAGCCAAGCCAGATTCTAAACTTGCACTTCTGCTCCCTGCCTGTACGCATCTCTCTAGTGCTTGGCGTTTCACTTGGTTGCAGACAGATGTGTTTCGCTTTCTGCTTTGCTGGGACCTGATCTTCCTCACATTCCTTTCCTGCAGGTGAGGACTGGAGTCGCTTTCTCAACCTCTTCAGCCTTTTCAGCTTTAACCCTCCGCCTGCCTGCCTGTCCAGGTTTCCAGAAACCCAGCACAACTGGTTCAGCGTCCAACCCACGGCACCTATTTGCCCTAGTCTGTACGGTGTTTGTTGTGTTGTCTCCTCCCGACTCCACAATCCTTTCTTTCCCTGTCCCCATAGGAACCCTTAATCATTAATTCCCCACGGGTGTAAGCACATGGTATCTGCACTGGACCTGGGCTTCCTTATTCATTGCCACACTGTCCCTAATGGAGCTCCTTCCACTTCTGTGGAAGCTGCACTCCTCTATATTCACACATGTGCCATGTGGTGCAGCCGGGAGAGACCAGAGAGACCACGCATCAGGGCTCTGAGGAACAGCCCAGACTGTGAGAAAGATGGTGGACTCCCGCAGGAGTCTAAAGAGGAAAAAAAACAGCACTCTCTAAACAGTTTGAGGGACTGAATGGTGAAAAGATTAAAAAAACACTGTTTGGATTTTAAAAAAATGAATGAAGAGTGCAGCTTCACTGTACCTGCACTCTACCTCATCCTGATATTTCTCCTGCCTGTAACAAACACCTAAGGATGACACAGATAAACAATCATCTTAGACAAATCAAATTGCATGAATTGGTAGT